TCCTAGTAATAGATAGTTTTTATTAGGTATTTCTAATAATAATATTGTTTATTTAATTATACCATTTCAAACGGCATTTATTTGTTATCTTAGTAAATAAATAACTAATTAATCAATCAATAATTTTTCATTTTAATTTTAAGTTGCAGTATAAAACTCTGAATGTTTTTATATAATTATAATAATTTGTTATTTACTCAATTGAAAGTAAAATCGGTAACTGAGTTTCACTGCAAACTAAATATACTGTTGAATAAGAAATGACGTTTACAATGGAAAAGATTTATTGTTGTGGTTTATGGGTAGGTACAATCTCCAAGGGTCCGCGCGGTTTATTAGGAGGACAATCTTTTTTATGCTGATTGTACATCCATACATATTAAGTATATTACGATAAAATTTAGTGATCTCGTGTTTCAGAAAATTTTATATTTTATTGATTATTTAAGGAACAAATCACTACAATAGTAAAATGAGTGGAACATTTATAAATCAAAGATTTTGATTATAATTACAAATTTATTCATTAGTACAGTAAAAGAGATATCAACCTACAATTTTTAGACTTATTTCTACTTATTCCTTAAAGTACATAATTGAACTAAATAAAATTTTACTCTGGAGAAAGTATGATGAAGGTGAGGTATAATATGTATTATTTGTTGACAAGAGTCTGTAAAACAAGAATTTGCTTTTATTTTGGCAAAATCCCAAAATGATTTTAGGAGATAAACTGCACCATAAATAATATTTTTCTCCTGTGAAAAATAGTCTTCGAGTGGTCTGCGTATACCAAAATAATAGAGGAATTACAATTTCATAGCAGAATTGTGTGTGGAAATTACTCAAGATTCAAGTGAAAAATATGGAATTGAGTGATTTAATGTGATAAGGTCGAATTTGTTATTTGCATTTGTACTGCAATGTTAAATCAAGTTTCAGACTTGACTGATTAAAAGTGTTCAAATATATTTCCATTTTCCAACTGTTTCAGCTTATTATTTTAGAATTTTGAAGTAGCATTTACCGGCTTCATAACAGAACAAAAACAGCTTTTTTTAGAAATAAAATATTTACCTAGTAGCCTAGTAGACAAAATGCATGTATATTTATAGCATCTGCAAAAACAACAAATTGAATAAGCTGAAACCAAATGTTTCCGCCGGTTCTTTACAGATGGCAATTGAAGGGCTCCACCGTTGACAGCTAGGGGCTTTTCAAGTGTCATCATACGTGAACTTAAAATTTGTTTAAACCCACATGTCAGATATCACCGACAGACACGACAAAATTTTGAAAGATTTCCCCAAAATACACAATACCCCATTCTAAAAATATTTATTTGCATATTGCGACGACGTTGCGAAACGATCGACAAAAGTGATAGAAACTCACAAAGTGGAAAAGATATTGGTGAATAATAAAGACGAAACTCCCCTTTATATTTCGTTTGATATGAAAATAGTCGATTTGCATTCTTATGGGGAATTCGAGCGACCCTCGAAGCGCGTAATTTGCTCAGGATCTGTTAATTTTAATACATATTTCATCGATTGGCAACCATGGTCTATGATAAGTTGGAATGTAACTTTTGTTGACACGACCAAGCGGGGGTGACTGATGATAAAGTACTTTGATGAAAGGTAATATAATGACTTTCCACATGTTGCAGAGAGTCTCTGTTACTGACGCCATCCAGGCGTTTTTGAAAGCCTACACTTTGTTGTCTTGAGAAAGACAGTTTACATAAATATATCTTAAAATTACTAAATTGTCTAATTGTAAATATTTGATTAGCACAAAATGGAAATAAATAACCGAACATTAAAGAAGTTAAATTTAACATAAGTTAGTTAATCCTAAATTTATTGTTCATGCATAAACATTCAACATTCAAGCCGCGATTTAATTTTATCAAACATATCAACAGTGGTGTCAAAAATCACGAATTACGTCTTGTAAAGTGAAATCATTAGGTCAAATTCCTCAATTTATTTAAAAGCGTTCTAAAACAATCTCGTAAATCAAGCAACAACCTCTGGAATCAAGTCTAACATTAGTCCTAAAAGCAATAAAATAAAGACATTAGGGTTGTTTTATCGTTTAATTATTTGATTTCGGGCGTGAGTTTACGACGTGTTTTACGACTCATTGAAACTGGGGTTGCAGGGGGTTTAACCCAGTGGTTAAATAAGACTATTGCACAAGTTTCCCAACAGTAATGACGCCACATGCCCCTCATATAGATGTTTACTCAATTATATTCCCATATATTTTTCTCGGAGGACAAAATTGCTCTCACCCTAGCAGAACGATTTTATTTTGTCACTGCGGACTAGTCATAAAGGTGTAATTTGGGTTTGTTCATTCCTTTTGAATAAAATTCTGCACAAAAGCCAACTGCTAACACGACTTTTTTGACAGATATGTTATTAAAATCGTTTAGAAAAATACAAGTCAATACATGTTGATTTATCAAAAAAAAGCGCTAAAATCAACAAATCCTCGGGTAACAATTTAATTTAGTTTTCAGATTTGTTTTCATATACAAATGATCACATTAACAACTTAGTTTTAATTTTCTGGGAATTGAGTTTTACGAAACTTGGAACGAGAAACATTAAGTTTCATTCTTGTAAAACGTACAATTAAGTTTTTAAATTGATCGAACTTTTTTGATATTTACATAAGCGAAAAGTAAATGGAAAGAGATTTAAATTTAATTTCGTTTGGTAATTTGATTTTGACGGATATTTAATTGTTTGCTCTGTAAATTTTCTCAAGTATTTCGTCTTAGTTGAAATTGAATTTTTGAAGGAAGTAAATATACTTTTTAATGAAGTTGCACGGTCTTGTACTTGAAAATTAATCAAACGAGAAAAATATAATTAAAGTATGTGCGTGTTCGTACATACTCGTACTTCCAATGGCGAATTAACCCTAAATTAAAAGTTATAGCTTTGAGGCTCAATTTGAAGGGGCGGTAATCTTGAATAGTGTTTTTATAACGCAATATCTCAGTAAATAACTAAAAAACTTTTCGTAGGCCGTTTTTCCATTATATTTCCTAAGTTTATGCGTATAATTTATGCTCACCCTGCATAACTGTAACATTATTTTAAGATTTTTTTTTACTACAAAATATACATATATCTAATGAGTAAAAAGACTAAAAAAACACGTCTAAATGTCAAGTTTAATCCCGCTTTTGCATTTTTTATTTTTTATTTTTCACTAAATAAAGTAGAATAATTAGCATCAGGAAACTTTTCTCTTGCGTTTGAATAACTAAAAAAGATTAATTATAATTTTTTTGTACAATTCTTATTCCTGCTAGATTTTCTATTGTGTTAATGAGTGTTTATTACAGCTATGTAATTACTAATTACCTACGTACACTTGTATGCATATTTTATTGCAACTTATAATGTCTTGGTACTTAATTACTACTAATTAATTATTAATTCTATTAAAATTGTAAAAAGTTTCACATACCTAAAATTAAAATGTTCGTCTAGACGCTATGCAAAATTGCAACAAACATTTCTGTTAATTTACCACTAGAATTTTTACGTATAATAATAGCTCAAAATAAATAATAATTCAAACATAAGCTTGTTAATTCACCAGTTTCATCACAAATTAAAGAAAAAAATGTCACCAAGTAAGAATATATTTTTTTAAATGTGTTTCTTTTATTTGTTCTTTTTTGACAAAATAAATGCTTTAGTTTTAAAAATAATTACTATTTTAATTACCTATATATAATATCAAGTGACTGTCAATGACTGAGATTTGTGTCATCACGTTGGCAACAAATTTGAAATCTTAATTTTGCAACATTGAGCATCAAATTCAAGTATCACATCAATTTTATAGTCAATTGTCATTCGTTTTTGAGTGGCGGTCGTTAAGCTAGCCGTCACTTAAATGTCTCAGACTAGAAGAATTACCAATAATTCAGTGTTACCAATAGACTTTTTTTTGTTACAATCATTTACAGACACTTACTATATTCAGTACTCAACAACAATAAAAAAAACTCGCGTAAATTAGTACAGTACGTCAAATACGAGTACTTTCTAAAGATTTCGAGCCAATGTAAATAAAATACGTACTAACGTATTATTTTTTAACAATTTCCCTTAACATGTCTGTAGAATGGAGAATAAGTTGTAGCAACAGATCCCTATTGGATATACGGTTTTCCAATATTGGTAGTCGATAAATTGGAGTTTCATTACTGTGGTAAATTGAAAAACTACCTAACAATTTCCTTAAATTTCTCCGCTGGATGTCCATTCCACAGTATACAAATCTGTCGCCATTTATTGCCGAAGTGTGCGTAAAAGAAAAACGGAAGAATACGTAGCCGGACTAAATGAATTCTCTTTGAGAAGGGTGCGTTCAAGCCGCAAAGGAAAAACGAGCGGTATTCCTTATAAAGTGAGACACACATAGAGCATTTCTCTCGCAAAGAGAGATGTGTATAGAGCGTCGCAAACCGACGCCAGTTAAAATGCGTCGCGCACGGTAGCAACTAGAGGGGTCTTATCGCTGATAAAAACACATCGAGCCCTTCGGGTAAACGTTCAGTCTGGCTTCAACTCGAGACTACTTATCAATGTTTCTTATCATGTAGTAGACAACTTGCTCATCGATAAACTGTATACGGTAGCCATACAAATATGTACACTTGATCGGTGAGGACATTTCGAGAATTCCGTACCGGTAGTTTGGTGTTTTTCAACGATTTAACTCGGCGGAAAAGTGCGTGAGGACGCTTGCTTTTTCAGTGGATTTCGACTGTTCCTGTGACTTTGCTTTAATAACATAAGAATTGAAGTATTTAGTGTATTTTTCGTATCTACAGGATTATCCATTCTGTTTATCTTATCAATGCTACTGGGCTACGGTTTCGTACAGGTATGATAAGTTTACGAATAATTTATTATTAAACTCCTGAACGGTAAATATTTCAAAAACTGAACATTACTAACTGTAATAAAATAAATATAAGTATTGTTACTGTTGTAATGATAAAAAAATAAATGGCAAATGTTACGTTTTTAGATTATTAAACCATTTAAATTTATGTAGCAATTTAAAAACTCTGTATTTTTCATTTTACCTTGCACTTGGGGATTAGTTGCAGTATATGTTTGTAACGTATAAAACTGCAATAATAAACTTTATTTCTTTAATTTTGAAAATTAACGGACCACAGTTAAATTCAAGCTTGTTTCTTGATTAAAAATTATTTCCTAAAATCATATTTTATAGAAGTACAGTTGGAGACAAAATACTTTGTCGTCACTTTTCTGATACTTTAATGTAATTCAAGATTTAACGTTAAAATGAATGACAAATTCAAATTAATGACAGCTATTATATTTTGCTATCAAAAATATGTAACTATGACTGACAGTAGCTAAAAATAAGGTTAACAGTCCTAAAGCATGGTTTACAATTTAATGTCACTCAAGTGACATTGACGACCAAAGTATTTTGTTTCCAACTGTACGAAATGAATACTTTCCAACAACAGCGATTTATTTAATTTTTATTTATATAAGGCTTTAACAAATCAAGTAAGTAAGTAAGTAAATCGAAGAATTTACAAAGCATTGTAAATTTGTAATGTGAAATTAGAAAAAATATTTTAAGAAATTACCAATTTATCATTGTTTTTGAACACTGACTAGGTTCATTCTGAAAATCCACCTTGAATAGATAACTATTCAATTGATATATTTGTTTAAAGGGATAATTAGAAGTCTGAAATAAAATTCATATTTTTTATTTATACAGGGAGCGCCAGAACTCGCGCCCCAGAGAAAAATGCCATGTAAGGTATGGTACTAGAAACATGGAAAAAATATTGAAAAAATTCTATCTATAAAAATTTTGCAGTTATGAGAGGTTAAATGTATGTTATTTGTGGCTTTTATTGGTACCTTTAATAAATAATTATTAAAAAAACATATACTTACAAGATCATCAGTATTATTAAATAGACATAAAAAAAACAAATGTCAAAAAAATAAATGTCAAAATTTGTGAAATGCTGTCTATGAGAAATAATCAATCAATCATGTTATTGTAAAAATTGTCCGTTCTTCATTCAGCCGTTTGGAGAACTTTTTGATAAAACACTAAAATATTGATACACAAACAGTTTATCTTATCAGTTTCATAAGTACACAAAAATAAATTCTTTAGTGGTCGACATATCAAAATATAATTTACAACACTTTATTGCCAGCATAATTTGGTTGCTGTGATTTTATTATGGTTTTTATCAGTTAAAGATTTTTTCGAAGTGTGTTGTAAGAAGCTCTTTAAACAAGGTAATGAAAATATATTTAATTTATATTTATATCAAATAGACAAATATGTGTATTCTATCTAAAAAAACATTCTTTAAATAAATTATTTTGCTCTAATTTTTTTAATTTCATGAATCTACATGAGCTCGGAAAAAATTAAAATTTGCACAGATTTCATTGTTTATTTTTCTTTGTTTTATTTAAATTATAAATCAAATCAGATTTTTTCAAATAAGCAAACCAATTTTGAAATTGGGTCAAAGATAACGAGAAGAGAAATTATAATCTTTGATGTCTCTAACACGACTTAATTCTCGTTTCCAGTAAAATCTTATTCGATACGTAGCCTAGGTACTAAAGCTCCGTTCAAATCCTACAAAGCTCATTATTGCGGAATTGCAAAGCTTACAATTGGAATTGGTGTCTGAGAGAAGGTAAATTCCTGCTAGTTTGAAATCTTTTACGAAAAATTTTTCTCCTGTATCCAGAATTCAGCAAAACTAAGTATTTACTCATAAGTTAACCTCTGTTCAGACGTTGCCGTCGTCGAGTGGCGTCGTTTTTCAGGCATAAGTTGATGTAATAACAGGGTCTCGTCTCAGAATTGCGTAGTCATGCCGACCGTTAGAAGGCAGATTTTCAAGTGCCAATGTAAGTGAAATGAAAAGGCATAGAGCACAGAAGTGCCTTGTAGTCTCAAGTTCAAAGGATTTTTTCATATACTTTCAAAGATTTGCTTACCAAGAAAGCAATAATACGAAAATGCTCCAACGACACGGTTTACACCATATGCTTTAGTATAAGTAAAAAAGGAGGATTTCTTTTTCTTCTAGCACCACCAAAGCTCCTAAATCATGCTATTATTAAAATCTGTTTTAAATTTGTCGCATCTGGGGCTAAAATTTCCTGCCACATAAATAAAAACGTATCATTTAGAAATGCATAGTTGACAGCGATCCATCATTCCATGAAGAGAACGTTATCCCTCTTCTTGTAAAAAAATATCAGCATGATAAATTAGCACTTTTTTCAGTCTTTTATTGAAAGAAATTTTTTCATTAAAGCATCGGTTAGGTCAATAAATCTAATTAAGTCGTGTGGTAAATTAAAGACTTTCCCTGTGACTGTTTTTTAAAATTGCGTGCAAAAATACGATTCCTCTATAAAGCTTTAAACTCATAGCTAACACTCTTTAGTGAAGGGGACATAAAAGCTCTTCTCCCGTGTCCTAAATGCGTGAACGAGCTTTGTTAGGCTGTCAGAACCCATCACTCCTCTGAGGATCAAAGCCTGCTTTGCATCTCAATGTTGCCTCCGGTACAAACAATAAATCAAATTTATTTCGGGGGACTTTAAATTACACCGTTTTTAACCAATTTCTAGTTTTTAATTGCAATTATATTCGTATTGTACTCATTCATAACTTCCTTTTTATTCAGCACGCGATTCTCGCTAGAATAAACAATTTTTTGCAACGATTGTTGTAGAAAGAACAATATCACGCGACAAAGTGTCAAAATTAAGTCATAAAAATTCCAATGTTCTTAATATATTATACTAAATTCAAATTTTCGTATGGAGTTTGACACATAATGAGGCATGTTATGCGTGTTAAATTAATCTATAACTTGTCTTGAAATCTGATTATTAAAGGTTCGGCAGAGGGTTATTCTAGTTATTCTATTATACTGAGGGTTGCTGGCACCAGTGAGAGTGACTCTACTTATGACGTAATGAGACTGGTCACGCAACTGCGTCATTCTTGCCATGCTAAATGAGCAAACTACCCACAATATACATGAATGAACATGTGCCTCATGTTTTAAAAGACTTTAATAATTATTATTTATGCAGTTTATAAAAATACCAAACTAATGCAATTTTGTTTTCCCTCCAATGAAGACATGCTGACCCACCCTTCAATAAGTAATTATACCTAGCCCCCACTTATCTGGTCTTATGTTTCATCGTAGTTATGAAAGATCTCCATTCAGATTAACTACTCTAAAATAATGTTTCCCCTTTATTAGTTAATAAGTGAGATATTACTAGTATTAACCTGAAGAATTCTAGATGAAACAGCATGTTAAACCAATAAAATACAGTGCGATCAAAAAGTCTTTCTATCAAGTAGGCGTCCTAGTTGAGGACGTATGTTGCATGGCAGTTCGTATGTTATTTAGATGTCAAAAAATTATTTTATAAAAATTAAAACGTTGATCTAATTAAATTGAATTATTCTATGACACGTCTCAAAACAAACTAAAATGAGATCTTGTTGGTGTTTGTTCATAAAAATCGTTCATCACGGTTTCCTGTCATAATTTACATAAAAACGTTAAAATACAGCATAATTCAAAAGGACTGCAGAATCATGCACTTGGATGCTTTCTAGAAAGATCAAGTCACTCAAGTTACTCTCAAAATTGCAAACAAAAATGTACCAACTTTTCTTAGGTAGATATAACTCTTCAAAAATGCAACTTTAATATTAATTTTTTATTGATAATAGAAAGTAATTTTGTGTTTTATTAGTACAGAGTGATTATAAATGATTTTCATCAAGCCAGCTGTGAATTTTCCATGTAAAATAAAAAATGCCGCTTTACGAAAATAGGGGTACCTACTTGTTTTAACTAAAAATTAAAAAATCGCCGTTTTGCTAATCGAAAATAGACTTCAATTATATACTTGTTTTCTTCCAAAGTATACATTATTATCAATTATTATTGGAAATTAGTTGAAACAATAAAAGTTTAATTAACAACAATTTATTATTAATTAATAAGTGACACTAATGACAGAACTAAAATTACATACGAAAAAATTCCAAAGCTGGCTAGATGAAAATTATTTATAACCACTCTGTATAAGAGACGTCAAAACATGCATCTAGGCTATTAAAAAATAAACTAAAATCCCTGTAAAATATTATAGAGCTTTTTTAATAAGGTAAAGTTGACAACAGCACATCAAAAATTTGTTGGTTTTAAATTATTGAGTGCAGGTGCAAGATGGTTCAAAATGTACTGCAGCGTTGCCAATTTGTTGTGTTTTTAAATATTTTCAAAACCACGCGGCCTAGAAATATTATAACAGCAAATCTGAGCTCTTGTTCGACTCTTTTGAATCACCGTATATATTACATAGTATATGTATACATGTAAACAAAATGCTTTGATAAAATCTCTAAAAAGTTGTATAGCAATTGAATAAAAAAACAAACGTTCTTTGAAATTGGCAAATGTCCGACAGTAAGTGGCTGATTATTTTAAATAAACACTCCATTCGGCGTCATAAAAACGTAAGTTTCTGTTATACATAAGTTAAAACCCAAACGTAAAACTTGTAAATTTGTAACAACACGCGATACTCAATATCTTCAAGTTTGAAGCAGTTGAGACTGTTGAGAAAGAGGAAATTTGTTTACATTTTACGCCCAATGTCTGTTTTCATAAACACATAAATCTGTCAACGAGCTATACATGCCTGTACTTTGTCTCTCTTCGGAAAACAAATCACACGTTGGCTCCTCTGTAGAAATTCTAATGGGAGTCGTGTACTCTAATCATGTGAATCATCCGGAAACACTAAATAAATTGTCCGTGTATATTTTTATTCTTTACACGGCCATACTCGTATAAATTTGTACGATCAAGAAAGCCACATTAAAAATTTAAGCGGCAACTTTAAAATACTACATTATCAAATGGCCTCAAATGTAAAAACAATCAAATTGGGTATGACATGTTTTTAAAATTCTAATAGCGTTTTGTTGTTCTTCAATCCGATGGTAATGGTGGCTTCGGCATCACGTTCACAAAAGAAAACGAACTATCAATCAATCACTCGAAAATAACGAATAGTTAATTTAAGAATGCTTATTTCACCATATTTATTCGATTTTCCCCACCATCGAAGGACACATTGAGTATTGATTATGTCATTATTCGTCTCCACCTGAAAACTGTTCCATTCAAATACGACTGTTTCAGTTAATTTATAGCTAGGCTAACACATTTTGGTTATTCAAAACAAATGTTTAGAGTGAGTTATGGTAGAATTGATGAGCAATTACCACTCATGATTGCTCATGCACATCATCGGAGTTGTAACAACTAACAAGCATTTCCAGAAACACGAAATTTTTTGAGGAAACAAGTATGGAAATTGTCTAGCAGAGTCATTGACGTTGCTGGATTTAAAAGTATGCAACAAATTATAAAGTTCCAAAATGGTATATCAAATCGATTCTTTCTTCCTCTGACATTGAAATATTTTAACATGTTGAAAGCGCAATTACCACAGATGACGCAGTATATTAATTTTTACCCCAAACACGTTTTTTTGTAATTAGGGCGAATTAAACCTCGCTTAGCATCTATCTCCATTTGCCAACTCTTCCAGTTGACTGTTTTATGCCATTATCTTTCCAAAAGACTTCATTGTATATGAATGAACAAACATAATGCTTTAAAGTTATTTTCCAGAGTAGCATTTTCGCGATTCTTTTTTATTTCAGTCTTCTCTAACGTACTGTGAATATCATCTTGCAGTTGAATAAAAAATGAAACTCTATTGTTAATCGATACGCCAACGAACTACAACACAAACAAAGCATTAGGCTAATGATAATACGCTTAAATCACTTATTTATTCTAATAAAAAATAAAAAAGTTAGCTCTACTTCCTCATTGCATTCTCATTTTTTTTTAACTATGGGTGGTAATTAAAAGTACCGATGATTATAATAAAAACCTAACTGATAATAATACGGTATCAAAATAACAGTTAAAGTTTACTCAGTAATCTACTTTGTTAGACATGTTAATATTAGGTTATTACGCAGGTATAATATTAATTTAATTTATAGTGTTTTGATCTCTTGTGCACTAACCAGTGACGGCATTAAATATTCTTCACATCTTTTTTACAGACAGACCGTCGGAGACGAGGATTAAAACTATTTTTGGAAGAATTGCAGATATTCCTCTGAATCTTAAAATAAAGGTAAGTTTACAACTGCGCTATTTTAGTCACCTCGACGTAAATTAATATCATAGTCCGGTTGAACATTGAAATTTTATTTATTTTGTACGAAAAACGTGTCCAATGATTGATAAACGTGTCAAACAAGGAAACGAGGAAAACGTTTTTTGCTAACCGACAGTCACAGCCACAGCACAGTCCTGGTTTATGTGCTGCATACCAAATGCTGGGGATTGTTAAGCTTTCTCTGATTTTCAATTTGATGCGGAGATTTTCTGTTTTTAAATTTATTTCAGCAACTTCAAACGAATCGAACTTTTTAAAAATACGACTGTTCTTTTGATAAAGTTGTTTCAATTAGAGTTTTTATAATCACTGACATTTGGTGAAAGGAACGAGTATAAGAATTTGATTTCTTGCGTTAAATATAGATTATAACGCATGGGTTTTTCCACCCTCCCTTGTTTATAGATAATAAAATTTCCAAAGATACCCTTTTATTGTGCATCGAAAAGACCTTAATCAGCGTCGCATTGAGTTAAAGTGGCGCCACGACGCCGTTTCATCGTCTTTCATAGTCTACGATCGTCATAAATGTAACACGACGGTGCTTAATTGCGCACAGGACGGCTGTCTATCAATTTCTTCCTGTATTTCGACGTAACGACGCTTGTCCTTGTGATATCTAATCACTGTTAACAACAGTTATATCCTGCTTCACATGAAAATTATATCTGAAAGCTCTCTGAATGCTAATAATTAAAGTAATTTTATTTGTCGCATCATCAGCACTGTTTTACAAATTCAAATGATGCGAAAGAACGTAATATTGCGTGTCTGGAGGAATCTCAATCTTATAGAGTAATTAGAAGAAGTAACAAAACAGCGTCCGCTTAATTGTGTACTAACATAAAATTAAATTGCGTACCGAACGCGGTAATTAATTTTCTGTACTTAGTTAGACGTTGTTTTAATTAGTTGTTTGCATCAACTAAATTTAGTTACGATCTGAATTCTGTTACATTTTTTGTTCTTTGGTGTAGGTAATTAATATCGTGCTGGAATTAACTCATTTATCTCACCAAATTATTTAACTTAATTTGTAAAATTTCATTTATTTAGTACATTACTTTTACGTTTTATTTTTAAAACAATTAGTAAAAACAGAAAGGATCAAACGCTACAGCTAATGAAATTTTAGTGTTGATTTTTTAAAGAGTCGTTTGACAAGAAGCAATCCTAGTCAAAGCTAATTGTGCAGTAAAAGCAATTCATCTTCTTGACATGGAGTGCTTATTAGCATTGGCAAATTAATTTAAATAGAGTCATTCTACCGCTCTCTACTATTACACTGTTAAAAATTGAAGAAGTTGACTCCTTATTAGAAAATTTAAAAAGGAAAACTGATTCAATTGTTTAATAAAATTGGCTTTTTAAATGTTGAAAACCTAAAAATACTTATTTTATTTTACCTATAAGATAAGAATCCAAATTATTTAATAAAAATATTAAGTCTGTTAGTTATACTTCAAAAAAGGAAATGTTTCTTAAAAAGGGGTTTACTTTACTTTTTACTACCGTTAAGCATGAAGTGATGTATTATAAGAAAAAGAGAAATTTTTGTTCCAATACTACATTTCCTTATCGGTACCGAGATCGGTACTAGGTATCTATTTTAAAAGATTTTTTTGTACAGAGAAGCATTAGCGGCAAAATACAAAATAAAACGTCAAAGATATCCAATTTCTAAAGAAAAACTGTGTAATAAATAACCTACAATGATTTCATATGAGTAAAAACTAACTACCTACCTAGTAAATAGTCTGTATTTTATAGTATAATTTTTGTACATGCACTTACAAAAATACAAAAGAAAAAACAAGTACCTGTACAAACAAACAAGTTATTTTACATTCAAATACTTATAAATAATTTAAGTTATAAAGAATACGTAGTGAATTAATAATGCAATAAAACATCATAAATAATTGTTTTTTTTATTCATAAAACAATAAAAAGTTAAGTTAGGTGGAGGTGGAATATTTGAGTGAGGCAATTTTAATAGATGGGTAAATTGTAAAAACAATAGAGTAATATATGTATTTTTATAAAAATTATGACATTTAAATTTAAAGAAAATTTCACTTGGCTGACGTTTTATAATAATTGTACTCTCTACTCCAGTGCATTATCAAATTTATTTTATAAGTGAACAGAATTATGTTTACTTAAAAAGTGTCTTGTATATTTATTTATTTATTAGTTTTATATTTGAGGGCAAATCATAATAAAAGTACGAGTGATAAAAGGGTTAAAATAACTCTTGCTTTTGTTAATACATATTTATAAATGTGTATTAAAACATTTCTACCTCGAGCAAAACAAATGTTGTTAATATTTCATTTGAATAAAAGAGTGTATCAGATAAAATCACTGCAAAATTTATAAATCTTTAGATACTCAATATAATTTTTTACGTTTTTGTTAGGAACAATATGTGTCGTTATAAATTTTATTTTATTGCAACCATGAGAGGAAATCGCTGTTTTCTCTTCAATTATCACGTTGGTTTTAAATGTGACAATAAAAATGCAATTAAAAATAATGGGTGGAAAAAAGTTCCACATGTCTTGTTGGGCCACTTTCTGTCACAATAATCGGCTTAAAATTATTATAATCGTTGCTACAATACCCTTTCTGAAAGAAAGCCCATAATCCCTTACATAAACCGTTTACCTGAAATGCTTTGTGGTTTAACAACTGTCAAAGAAGGATTAAATACTAAATTCTGGGTAACCCAACACTCTGTCTTGATCTTTTAACATCTAAATTTCAATTTTTGATCGATGGTGACAACTGTGTTGTCCATATCCGAGAAAAAAAAATCGTTGTAAAAGAAATGTAGTTTGAATAAGTTTTACATTACAATACACGTAGAATTAGATTGAATTAGCCATTAATGAACACTCTATTGCGACAATAAAGTGAAAAAGAGTGTTGAGATTGGTGCAAAGGGTCAGGTTAATTAAATTCGATTGCCTTTGGTAACTTTCTTAAGAACACGTGCTTCATAAAAGGACACACGAAGTCTGGCTTACCATGATTGAGTTCGGACCCCATCTTAGTGGGATAATCGGCTTAGGAGATTAAGAAAGTCATTTTATGTTACCTCGAGAAGATTTAATTTGCTTTCAAGATGCACCGATTTTGGACGTGTTTTTGATATCCCAAAAATAGATTTTTGTAGTTAATTTTTTGAATTGCACACTGGTGATAAGCGATAATATTTTGATAGTGTCTGATTTTATTGATCGATGGACAGACTTTTGACACATTCACACATATTGGGATTTTTTCCATGAACATTTCACTGTGCAAAAATGAAATTTCACAAATTGCATGACTGGTAATGTTATACCTAATGAATCCTCTTAAAAAATTAAAAATTACTTAGCTATTTGTATGTTGAAACGGACAAAAAATCTGATATGTATGAACTGTGAAATAGCTAATTGGTTATGCAGAACATGTGAGCAACCAAACATCATAATTTACTACGACGCTTGGCTAGAATGTTTAAACCAATTAATGAATTTCTCACATCATTATCGTTTTAAGAAAGTCAGAATTTGACATAACATTTTTGTGTTTGTAAAGATTAACCGTTCATCAATCTTTCAGCGTGATTCGGTTTCTGGCGTTTTCTCGCACGATCGTTTCAATAAATCACGTCATGTCACATACCACCAACTTCGTTGGGCGAAACCTCGACCATTAACCACTTTATTTTATCATTTCCATCGCTGTGTGACTCTTGGGTGACATCGAAGAACACAGCGCTCATAATTGGTAAAATCCTATCAGTTTCATCTTTACAAAAATTTATTACCGACGTTAGAAAAGAAAAATATTCTTCGGCTCTCTTCCATTTAATATTTATATTTGCCAACAGTCAAGGCCTACAAGCTATTCTGTCTGCATCAAAAATTAAATTGCGCCTCTATTTTAAATTAATTTTTAAATTACGAGTAGATTTAATTTATTTTGTTGACTCGAGAATGGAAATGACAAAAGAGGTGTGCACAATTCTTGGTATTTATACCACAAAATCCAGCGATGCAGAATATAGAAACTTGAATTCAAACAATGTTGAGTCATGTGAGAAGTCAAAAATAAAAGTACACGATTTAGGTGGAGTTTTTAAATCTTTAATCACCACAAACGCATGCACAAATAGCTATTCTGGGGACTGGTAAATGTGCACATATGAATGCAAAAAGCTTTGCAATATGTATTCAAGAAAGGTATATGTTATGGTATTATATAAAGTGAATTTCAAATTTCTACCTCTAGTCATAGGTGATTCAAGTGTGCAGAATTATATTGAGTAATAATTTCTTTAGCGCTTAATTTGCTTTGCCTACTTTTGAAGCAAATTAAGATTTGTCGCGGTTACGAATTATTTTCTAGCATTCTACTCAAATGCCTATTACGGCAGTAAATGACTTTGGAAAGAGGGATTTTCAATAGGTTGAACAAGAATATCGAAATATAATTTCATTTTCAATCTCACGGTGAAATATGATACAGGCGGAGGTCTGTGTCATCTGAGCAGTTGGTAACGGGTCGATTACACGCCCAACGTGCCATTTCAGACGCCATAACTACAAAGAAAATGACAGCATCCATAAAATGCAATTCGAATAGCAGACAACTTGAGACACGAAATTCTATTAAATTATTGTGGACCATCGTGGAATATGATGAACTTGTATTTGTCGTTGCGGCTTTCTCGGAATGTAAACTGATATCTGCTGATGATCAAGAATCTAAATTAGTATCAGTCGGCAATCACTAAGTCCTAGTGACGCCAGTAAGAGTATTCATTTTTTTTAAATATTTTTTTGACATAGAATCGATTTTTTAGTTGTTTTAGTAGTTTCCAATTCTGGCGATTTGTTTACTGGGATTGACAACATCAACAAAACGTGTTAAAACAAAACATATTGATATTAAAATTA